GGGGCTCCATGCTCTGTCCCAGAGGGCGGCAGGCAGTTCTTGGAGGGGTCTCCAGAGTGAGTCAGCAGGTGGGCTTCAAGGGAGCGTCTAGAATTCCTGCTCAAAAGAGCCCCACCACAGGAGAGAGCGCAGAACAGCCAGGGGCCTGTGCATGCAAAAATGCTAAAAACAACATAGGAGATGAAAGCCAGCTGTGAAGGTCGCTGGACGGGGGTGTGAAGGTTTCATTCTGGGACCAGGGGGCCCGGAGCTCCGAGTGCCTGGGTCATTCAAACACAAGAGGAGAAATTCCCCAAGAGCAGTTCTCCGTGCTCAATCGATAGCATCCCACAACGCTTCAGGGGCCTAAAGTCTGTGCTAAACGAGGAATTGGGGAGACCAGGCTGGTGGGAGCGGGGAGTGGATGGGGCTGTGGCCTCCTGTCAGGTGACTGAAAGACAGACACGATATATTCTGGGTGCGGCAAGGCGGCCACCACCCTGGCTGGCAGTCAGTGCCGCTCTGGGGATGTTTGCCACTGAGATAAGAAATGGAATCGAGGGTAGGGTGAAACAGAAAAGAGGGGCTGTCGAGAGGGCTCAGGGGGCACAGGAGCTTGCTGTGTAGTCTGAGAACCAGAGTTTGATCTGCAGTTTCACATGGTGGAAGGAGAGTCCGCTCCTGCGAGCTCCTCTGGCCTGTGGCCTGGCATTGATGTGTTGCATGCACACAGATGAAGGCAACGACCTTTTCAGAAAAAAAAAGAAAATAAGGGGAGTGGTGACATGGTGGTTCACGTGTTCAGTCCTGGCACATGTGAGTCAGAGGCAGGTGGATCTCTGTGAGTTTGAGGTCAGCCTGGTCTACAGAGTGAGTTCCAGGACAGCCAGGGCTACACAGAGAAACCCTGTCTTGGAAAACCAACCAACCAATAAATAAGTAAGTAAGTAAGTAGATGGATGGAGAGATAGATAGATAGATAGATAGATAGATAGATAGATAGATAGATAGAGGAGGTGGTGTCCTGGAGGAGGGGATGTGGGGGGCTCCGAAGCTTCTTGCTTGAAACAGTGAACACTGGGGAGGTGGAGGCCAGAGGGTCAGGTGTTCAAGGTCATCCTGAGTTATACAGCAAGTGGGGGGCCAGCCTGGGCTACAAGACTTTGACTCAGTCCTAGCCCCATATTAAACATGTCACTGCCATAGGAACCAGCCAGGTCATGGTCACCCAAGAAAGGAACTCCTCGGGAGAAATCGAAGTGCAGCAGCCTGAGGAACATGGCTGCCAGGACACAGTGCCTGCTCAGGGTCCCACACCGTGTTTGTACAGAGACCCCGCGCACAGTCGGCTAGACTCGTCTTTCTTGTGCAGGGACAGCATTAGCTGTCCGCCTATTAGCTTCTTATCCTGTTGTTTTGAGGCAGGAAAACTCTATAGCCCAGATGGGTCTGGGGCTCAGCACGTCTCCTGCCCCAGCTTTCTGAGGGCTGGGATGGCACCTGGCTTGCTCCTGTAGACTCCCTAACTTACAGTGCTGACTTGTCTCTGTAGATGTTTCTTTCTCCACCCTCACCCCCAGACAGGGTTTCTCTGTGGCTTTGGAGCCTGTCCTGGAACTCGTTCTGTAGACCAGGCTGGTCTCGAACTCACAGAGATCCACCTGCCTCTGCCTCCCGAGTGCTGGGACTGAAGGCGTGCGCCATCATGGCCTGGCTATAGATGTTTCCCTAGACTATTTGTCTAGGGAACCAGGATCCCCAAAAGACCACATATGTTCAATAAGAAAGTAAGTCTTTTTGAAATCTTTTCCGTGGAACACAGACGTGGAGCCGATCGATCACATCACACCCATGGCACTTGAACACCACAGCAATTTTATTGTTTTAGACGAGGCTGGAACGCAGCTAGCCAGTTGACACACTGTGGTATGTCCGTACAATGGAATACTACTTGGCACTGAATAAAAGTGAAATATTGATATACCCAGAAGCATGAATAAATCACTGCGTCAAAAAAAAGGGCGGTCTATGTAGGTGTGCAGTTCAGTGGCAGCTTGCTCAGCACGCACGCGGAGGTGAAGGTGGGAAGCATGGGAGATGGCATTCACGGGGCCTTGTGAAGCGGAAGGAATTAGCACAAAACAAACACGCTCTCGGATAGTTTTGTTCTGCAAACTTTAAGTCCGCAGTCAAGGTGTTACCACGTCCGTGTGTCTTGTGGGGTCTCCAGGAATCCATCCCTTGGCAGCTCCCGGCAGCTCCCGCAACCCTGGCGCTCTATGTCCTAGAGACCCCTTGCTTTCGCCCCTGCCTTGGTTTTCCATGTGTCTATGTCCCTTCCACTATTTTAAAAAACTCCTTGGTGGTGGGGATCCTGGGCCTACTGTGTGCTGGGGAAGCCCTTTCCTGCCAAGCACGGTGACAGCAAAGGTCACCTATATTTGTTTGTTTGGGGACAGGGTCTCCTGTAGCCCAGAATGGCCTCACCATGTAGCCGAGGATGACCCTGTATTTCTGAACCTCCCCACTGCTGGGCGACAGTCCTCAGTTTCTTTGCCTGTTAAAAGGGCCCGGGTGGCTCAGCCGGCAAGCCTGTCAGAGCAGCTGAGCTTTCTCAGCCGCTGACCGCAGCTCTACAAGGTCCAGAAGGTTCCAGACGGTTTCCTTTGTGGATGGAGAACCATCCTTCTTTGAGCGTGGGAGGGCCAAGGGGACCCGGGAGGGAGCAGAGCCAGTACCAGCCAAGCTTCTGTCCGCTCCCGTCCAGCCAACCAGAGAGGAGGCTGATGACCCGAGGCCCGCCATTGGCCTTCTGGGGCATCGCCCTCAGAGGTTGGTCTCGCGCCCCAGGGACAGCAGGTGGGCCTCGTCGCCTGGCAGGAAGCCAGAGGGCTTTTTGGTCACAGCAGGGATGTCTTCCGGACCCTGGGAGAAAGCGGAGCACATCACACACCCGTCCCAGATGGGGTCCCCGAGGACCAGGTCGGGCCCCAACCCCCAGCCGCGACTCATCCTCCGGCCACCCCACCCGGTGTTACGCACGCGCTCTACCGAGCCTCAGCCCTGCTCCATCTCAGACTATTTTTGAGACAGGGTCTTACTCTGTACCCCAGTGGGCCTCAAACTTGCAGTGATCCTCCTGCCTCAATGCTGAGATCATCACCGTGCCCGACCCAGCTTCATAACCTTATTACTGTTTTATTTTTGTATTATGGGTATGCATATTTGGCCAACATGTGTGTGTGCTGGGTGCCTGGAGGCCAGAAGGGGACCTCCTGAAGTTGCAGACATGGGTGCTGTGTAGGGACCCGGTCCTCTGCGAGCCACTGCCTGCTTCTTACTCTCTGTCACGTAGACAGGCTCTCATGGTGCCCCAGGCCTCGAGCCTGCTGTGGAGCTCAGGCTGGCCTCGTGCTCCACATTCCTGTCTTTGGTGTCACCTGCTGGAAAACCTCTTTCTTTGTGTCACTTTGGTCTCTCAGGAGGTGACAGCGTCTCCCACTTTCAGGGACTCTGCAGTCCCTGGGCTCAGCTCCAGCCCAGCTCCCACTCCCCGTTTCTTATGTAATTCTGAATTAAGTAATGTTATCTTAAGAATATTCTTCAGAAGTGTCTCTCGAGGGGAAACCAGTTTCCCCCGCCACAGGCAGGAAATAATTGTTTAAAAAAACAGATATGATAAAAATAGGCAGCGATGATGTGTGCCGGCCCCTGGGAAAGAGACAGCTTTGACCGCAGAGAGGAATCTGCCCGGCCCCTGGGGCCACACCCACCGGGTCCCCAAGGCCCTGGCACCCAGTGACCCTAGCTGGATCTGACCTTCACCAGGCTGTCCTCCAGAGTGGCGGAGTCCTCCTTTGGGGCCACGGACGCGGTCTGCCGAGCCAGGTCCCACCACAACAGTCCAGGGCCCAGGGAGCTGCGCTTGGTGGGGCCTGAGGGGGCAGGCGGACAGGAACTCAGTGCTGGGTGTTCTTTCAGCCTTGGCAACACCCAAGGCTGCCCACTCGTGAGGAGCTGGGTTGGCTTCAGTTTTAGGTTATCTTTCCCCTGGCCCTCTCTGTCCTAGGAGTCTCATTTCACCTACTTTTCTTTTTTGAGACAGGGTCTCCAGTCTGTCCTAGAACTCAAGGCAATCAATTCTCTTGCCTTTGGCTCTGGAGTGCTGGCATCACAGGTGGGCACCGTCACTCAGCAGGCTGGAAGTGCCCAACCTTCCATCCACCCAGTTTCAACCCTAGTGTCTAGAAGCTCAGCCAAAGCCGAGGGCATCAGCTCACTCTCTCAGAGGTTCAGCTCAGGCTGGGGCTGTGCTCGATCATCACAGCTCGCAGCTCAGTGGTAGAGGATTGTTTTGCTAGCACTGAGCCCCGACTTCCATCCCCAGAACACATCAACCAGGCACGGCAGTGCATGCTCCCATAAGGATCCGAGGCTAGCCTGGGCTACATGGAACCCTTGTCTCAAAGGAAACACATGAACTAGAGAAGCAAGTGGAGCAGGGGTTGAAGGTGGTGATGCACACATGCCGTCCAAGCACACAGAAAGCTGAGGCAGGAGGATTGTCATGAGTTTGAGGGTCAGCCTGAGTTACAGAATGAGGACGAGGACGCCACCCCCATCTCAAACCCAAGCAAACAATTCTGCGGGGTCTGGGAGCCGCCTAACAACGAGATTTGGCTTCAGGACCGCGGACAGCGCCTCGCATCCCTGGGCCTTAGCCGGGACCCTCCTGGAGGAGCCGGCCTCAGTTCCCAGGTCTGCAAAAGAAAACTGGCCTGGGGGGCGGGGGCGCAGCTCACGGCCGACGGGGTCCCTCCCAGGTTCCCTTCAGGGAGTGGGGGTGAAGGCAGGAGGATGAACAACTGACCTCGGAGGCCACTGCACTAACCTGTCAGATAGCTGATGAGAACTCCGCACAGCATGGTGGTCAGCGTGCCCAGAGCCCCGTAGTAGAGATAGGAGATGGCGTAGAAGGTGTCGGCGAGCGCGGGGCGGTCTGCCTCTACTCTGGAGCTGGTTGGGAGAGGAGGGCACAGATGCCGGCTGTCCACAAGCACACTCTCCGCCCACCTTGTCAGCTCAGCCATCACTCAGACCTGTGCAGGAGCTAGGTCTCCCCACCCACCATGGCTCCCCACTGATCTTGGAATTAAATGAACCTAAATACTTAGAAAAAACCCTTCTGGTCACCCTCCACAGATGCACCCTCTGAGGCAGAGGCACAGGAAAACGTCAACGGGGCCTGACCAAGGTCGAAAGGCTCCAGATGGGCATGTTGCATTTTCTCTTATTTTTCTAAAGGAACCCAGGCCCTCTCCCATGCTGGGAAGTCACTGAGCTACACCCCAGCCTAGGCCTCCTTTTGAGACAAGGTCTATCTAGCTAAGTTGTCCAAGAAGGCCTTGATGTCCCAGCTTCCCGAGGGCTGGAGGAGAAGCCTATGCAAGCTTGGCTTTATGAAGCGTGAGGGTCACAACAGCCCCAAGCAGGACACTGCCCACATGTCCACTAACTGATGGCAGTTACACACGTGTGCAATCTGCATTGTATGGAATATTACTCAACACAGAGATCAAAGGAACAGCACATCTTCCCTCACAGTCGTCAGAATGAACCTTCAAAGCAAGGTGAGACACAAAAGCCCGGAAGAGGGAAACCCACAGACTCAACACATGGATCTTCCCAGAAGCTGGGAGAATTAAAAATTTTGATTTATTAATGTAGCCCAAATTGTCTTCAAACTACCTCTGTAAGCAAGGATGATCCATGATCTGCCTGCTCCTCCAGCGTTAGACCACACCAGCTAAACCTAAGATCCTATGGCGAGTTATGTAGGATGCTAATTACATCCCAACAGAAAATATAATCACCAAGAAAGAAGGAAAGAAAAGGTCGCCAGACATGCTGGGCACACATGTGGTCCAGCATGCAGCAGGTGCAGACAGACAGGAGAATCGAGGGTTTGCTTGGGGTCATCATGGCTACATAGCGAGTCTGGGGCCAGTCTGTCTCAAACTACTAAAATACAAAAATAAAAAATAAAGCCAAAGCCAGTCAGTCGTTGGGTTCCTCTTGTCTTTCTGTTAAGCCCAGCTCACACACCTGTGGCCTTCGGAACCTGAATGTGGCCCCAGGGCCTTTGCACAGATGTTTTTGTCCCCTAGGAATGTTTTTTCCACAGCTCCCAGTTCCTTCCAGTTGACACCATGACATTGCACACTGGACCCTACCCCTGGGCTGCTCACCTAGGGACCCCACTGGAGGTGTTGGCAGCTCCAGGTTGGCCCATGAGGAGCGATGCATTGGTGCAGCCGGCGGCGGAGGTGGGCAGCACGCCCATGATCTGCTCTCCAGGTGGATACAGTGTAGCCCCCAAGGCCACCCACAGGGATACAGCCAAGCCTGCAGCCAGTCCAGACAGGACGCCCTGGGGGCAGTACCACCGTGAGGGGTGGTGCCTCTTTACCATGCCCCGCAGGCCACACCCACACCCTCCCCACTCACAGGTGTGTTGCAGGCTGGCAGCAGCATTCCCAGAGTGAAGGCACCTAGCAGAGGCCCACTGATGACGCCCATCACCGTGAAGGAGCCCTGCGAGGCAGGCGGAGAAGGGCTGGGCTTAGCCACCGCCTCTCGGGACTCAGTTTACCCTAAGGAAACCCACTGCAGGCCTTGACACTGCTTTGCACCCCAGTTTTCCCTGTCCTCTTTCTCCTCGAAGGCTGGTAGAAAATGACAGTGGCGGGTCTCAGGTATGCCCTCGACCTCTTTATGCAGGTAGCTAAGTCTAGCCTTGAACTCCCCATCTTCCCGCCTCAGCCTCTCGGATGACTGGTGCTCCCCACACCAAGTCCCGCCTCTCCAGTGTCACAGCGGCCTGGGCATCTCCTCGAGCCTTGACTGGGACTCACACTGGGGTGCAGGGCAGGTGGGGTTGAAGTCTCACCTGGAGGACACCACCTCCCAGCAGCGAGGACAGAGCAGCCACCGTGAGGCAGGCTGAGCCATAGATGAGGGCTGTGGGGGTGGAATGGCGCAGTCAGTGTGGGGTACCACCTTGGCCCCACACCCTGGTCCCCCAAACTCACAGAGCCCTTTAGAGATGAGAACGAGCTTCCGAGGTGCCAGGCCAGGCATCCGCGGCTTGATGAGGTCTTCCACCGTGACGGCTGCCATGGCGTTAATACTAGTGGATGCTGTGCTGCAGGTGGAGGAGAAACAAGGGCCGAGCCTCAGGGCGCACAGCGCTATCCTGCTGCAGTCTCCCTGCCTACGGCCCTCCCCATAATTTACAGACAGGGCCCCCTCCCCCGCTGTCACAGCTGGAGTGAGCAGGGTGCTCACCTGAGGGTGCCACTGTAGGCACAGGCCAGGAAGAGTCCGGGGACTCCGGGCAGGTCTTCGAAAATGTCCAACACGAGTAGCGGCATGTACTGCAGGAGACAGAGGCCTGGCTGTCACACACGGGACGTGGGCGGGGCTTTCTCTTTTTGTTTTTGGTGTCCTGGGCAGGCCTCAGCTACATAGTGAGTTAGGCCAGAGCCTCTGTATCAACAGTCCGCTGCTGTCATGCTGGCCTGAGGTCTTGCCTGCTTACACACCCACTCTGCCATCTCCCTCTCCTCCCAGACCAAAACAGCGGCACAGACGTGCCTTTGAGAGGGAATGCTTTTCCAGCCCCGCCTCTGGGCCTGGAGAGGGCGGAGTCTGGCGTGTGAGCTCACCTGATCTGGTGCAGAGATGCGTCCTGTGAGGAGGGGATCACAGTCCTTGTAGAAGACGAACATGACAATGCCACAGAAAGCCGCGCTGGCCACGATCAGAAAGAGGCCCAGCTGGTTGACAAGCAGGGCCCTGGGGGGGGGGGGGATGGGGTGGCCTTAGGAGTGTGTGGGGGAGGGACAGCCTGTCCCCGAAGCCTCTGCGTGGGTCCCTCACCTGCATACTCACAGTTTGGCCTTACTCTCTGAGCGGCAGGCCACATAGCGCTGTACCTGGGCTTGGTTCACACCATACATGGAGAGCCACACCAGCGTACCACCAACTACAAAAGTCCAGAAGGTGTAGCGGCTCCGAGGATCTGGGTCAAAGCTGAGGAGGGAAAAAGGTAGGCTAGCGACCACGTGAGGATGCCCTCCCCAGATCCCCAGGGCTTTCCAGGTCCTAATGGGGTGTTGTGCTTGCAGGGAGTTTTGAAAGGTGGGTAGGTGTTTTCTAGGTTGAGTTTTGTTGCCCTGGGACACCTGGGGGGGGGGCAGGACTCAAAAACCTTCACAGTGCTGGGGAGACTGAGGCATAGATGTGAGGCTAGCCTGGGCTACAGAGTGAGGCCCTGTCTCTCACTCCATCAGGTTGATCCGGGAAAGGTTCTGGGCAAGACTGAGCACATTCCAGGGGCCTCCCATGAGCATGGCGCCTCGGGCCAGGATCACCCAGAAGCCGCTGATCATCACCACGACCTGGAAAACATCTGTCCAGACCACAGCCTTCATACCGCCCTATGCATGAGAGGGGAGAGGGGACAGTCACAGGCAGGCCTGTCCCTGGCTGCTGGGGCAGGACTCCACCCAGCATGGCTTCCTGTGGCCCAGGGAGCCAAGATCCCCCCTTGAGTTTCCCCACCTGTGAAGTGAGGATAGTGTGCCTTCCCAATGTTGGTTGGAGGATTAAACAAGAGTATGGGTGGAAAGGTGCAATTGTGCTAGCCGTCACAGCAAATACCCCAATATCTCTTATCATCCCCCCCCTTTTTTATTCTAGGCAGGGTTTCTCTGTAGCTTTGGAGCCTGTCCTGGAACTCACTCTGTAGACCAGGCTGGCCTGGAACTCACAGAGATCCGCCTGCCTCTGCCTCCCGAGTGCTGGGATTAAAGGTGTGTGCCACCACCGCCCGGTTTCATTGTTGTTGTTTTTTGTGTTTTTTTTTTTTTTTTTTTTTTTTTTTTTTTTTTAGGCTTGTGGAGCCCAGGCTGGCCTAGAACTTCTAAGCCTCGGCCTCAGCCACCTTCACCTTGACGGCTCCTAGGCAGCTTCCATCTATTCTCTTTTATTGTTAGCTCTCCCTGTGTTTTCCTGCCTCACCGAAAGCTGAGCCTCCAGTGCCAGGGACAGCCCCAGAACACGCCAGTCCCTCAGGAGGCACAGTCAAGACATGGGGCCCAGAGAAGAGCAGGCCGGAGTCTCAGCCAGCTTCAGCTATCCCCCCCCCCCCCACACACACCGCTCACTTTGGAAAGGCAAAGGCCACAACTCAGGGACCAGAGAGCCCAGGCAAAGCCCCTCGGGGCTGCTGGATCCAGCAGCACCCGAAGTGCGCCTGCCCATGAGGTCCTGGGGGTCCAGTCAGGCAGGGGAACAGGGAGTTGGGATGGTGCTTCCCGCCTGGAGTCGTCCACAAGACCACGCAGCGGCCACGGCTCACTCACCACGGTCGTGTACAAGGTGCAGATTACTCCCGTGGACAGTAGCGACGCCCAGATATCCAACCCGGTCACTGCAAAACACACCTCTTGTCAGGCCTCCAGCTTCTGCGCGCTCATACAAGGTCCAGCCTGGGCTCCTGGGCGCCCGGCCCCTCCCCCGCCCGCCAGTCAGACCTTGGTTCAGGATGAGTGCGGGTGCGTAGATCACGATGCCTGTGTACAGCATCTGTGGGTGGGGAGGGACGTGAGATAGGGGCGGGGAAGAGGGCGGAACCAGACGGAGGGAGGGGCAGGGCTAGGTTACAAGAGGGAGATTTTAGGAGGGATGGGGTGGCGCAGGACAGGAGGGTATTTCCAGGCAGGATGAGGGCGGAGTCTTGGGCGTGGTCCTGGTTGGTCCCTCGGAAGCAGAGTTCACGCGGGTAGGGGCGGGGCCAGGCAGGATGGGGGCGTGGCGTGAGGGCAAGGTGGGGCGGGATGAGTGTCTGGTGTGGGCGTGGTTGGGCGGGCAGCTTGCTCACCGTGGCCACCAGGTACTGCAGCGTTCCACAGAGCCGCACCACTCGGCTGAAGCGAAGCTCTAGATACTGAAGAAGGAGCCAGGGCTGGAGGTCACCGGGAACATGACCCCTCAGCCACCCTCCTTGTTCTCCCTCTCTCCCGGGTGCCCACCCGCGCTTAAACAGTTCTTTTGAGTCAGTGTCTCTGTGTGTAAACCAAGCTGACTTAGAACTCGAGGCAATCCTCCTGCCCGAGCTTCTCGAGTACTGAGATATATCAGGTATAAGCTTTCAATTGTCACTACCCTTGTTGGACGGTTGCAGTGTGCCTAACTGTGCCCGCAGATTTGAAGCTGAGGTCTCCCTAGTGAGCCCAGGTTGGCCTGAAACTCATGGCTGTCCTCCTGCCTCAGTCTCCCCAGTGCTGAGACTAAAGGCCCGAGCCATTTCGTTTACACTAGGCGTTGAAAGATTGGGAAATCCTGCAGGGCCCTGGTATCGCTGCAGGCGTTTGAACCGTGTGCGGACGCGGGTGGGTGGCCCGTCCTGGGCGCACACGGGGACAGGTGTCAGCGGGAAGTCACCGCCCCGAGGCTGCTTCGAGCCGTGGGACCCGGACTCTTCCTCTTTCCTGGCCCTGCCCCGCGCCCGGGGCATCTTCCCGGAACATTCCCGCGGGACCGGGTCCCCTACCTGGTAGGTGCTGGTGAGGCCCAGGCGGTAGAAAACCGGCAAGAAGACCAGCGCGGTGAGCAGCGAGTTGAGCAGCTGGCCCGCGCACATCCACAGGAACTTGAGACCATAGCGCGCCGCCTCGGCGGGGACCCCGAGCACCTGCACCGCCGACATGAAGCTGGCGGCCAGCGACAGCCCCACGGGCACGGCCGCCAGCTGCCGACCCCCGGTGAAGAAGTCGTCGGCGCTGCGCTGGCCGCCGCGGGCCAAGCCGACCCACAGCCCGATGCCCGTGGACACCAGCAGCATGGCCGCGAACACCCCGTAGTCCCAGGCGCCGAAGGTGGCCGGCGGCCCGGCTTCCATCCCCTCCATGGGGACAGGTGACTCGGTGCAGGGAGGATGCAGAGACGGGCAGGACCCTCGGTGAGTGCGTGCACGGCAGCGCGGGACTCACCGTGTGTGCCGTCGGTCCTCTCGTTCCTCGCGCCGAGGATTTATTGGGCTCCGGGGTCAGTGCAGCTCCGCCCCCAGCCTGGGAGGCGGGCGCGACCCGCACCCTTTCCACCCTGGGGCGAGCGGGCCTGTAGGGGTGCGGGCGGTGTGTGTGTGGGAACTCCTCCGCGACACTCGCGTCTCCTGATACTTTCTCTCACATCCAGGGCTATGAACAGACCGGGCATTGGAGGCTAAGACCCGCGCTCGTACAGCCTGCCGGGTTTTGGTACCCGGAGCTACGAGGAGCCTGGCACTGGGATTTCCTTGGGGGGGGGGGGGGAGCTACCGGGCTCCGTAAGAAAAAGTGCCCTCCCCAGAGGGTGTCTGTCTTTCCCGCAGCGTGGAACAGGGAAGTGTCCAATCTTGCCCTCCAGCCAATCCCGGTGGGAGGCACTCTGGGCTTCCCGGTGAGAACACACTTGGAGAATTTTTTTTTCTGTTTAGGTGTTTAGTACTCATCTCCTCAGTCTGTACGAGGGCAGTCTGGACCTACTTCCCTTTGCGTGCGTGCGTGTGCGTGTGGTGTCTGTGTGTGGCGTGTGTCTGTGTCTGAGGCAGGTTCTCAAGCAGCTCAGGCCGGCATGCATGGAGTCCTGGCCGGGTTGACAGGAGTGTGCTCCACACCCGTCCTTGCCCTCCCCCCCTTTCGGTCTACTCTTCCTTCCCTCCCACAGGCTGACCTTGAAGCTATGGCAATCCTCCTGCCTCATCTTCTAGTGCTGGGCTGGCAAGTGTAGACCAGCCTCCCTGCGCAAACTTGTTTGCTCGTTCTTTGAGTGCCCATCCTTTCCTTCAATTTGGCGAAGACCTGGGTCCTGAGCTGGTTTTCAAGGGAATGAGGACTTGACCTGAGGTTTGGGACGATGCAGTCAGAGGCTCAGGAGATTCCACCGTGGAACCCTTCCCGGATGAGCTGGTGGAGAATCTGGGGTATCCAATGTTGATTCCCTGTCGGGTCCCCCACATTTCGGGTGATCTGACAGGTAGAGGACCTGGTTGCCTCAGGCTGTAGACCTGCCCAAAGTGCCTAGCTCTCCTCCGTGTTTCCCCGTAGGACGAACAGTGTCTCCAACTGAGGTGAATCGCCAGGCACCTCAGTTGAAACCCCAAGGCAGAGAGGAGCTGGAGGTACTGGCTGTTACTGGCTCCCAAGTCTTGCTGTCAAGGGCACTGGGAGAATTTTCAGGTCTTCAAAATGCTTCGGAATGGGTAGAGCTAGGGGGAGATGTGACAGGCATGGGGCACTCTGGAGTCTAAGGGGACTGGAGAGGAAGAGGCAAGCCTTCACAAAACAGGACTGCTGTTCTTTTTGCACAGGCCAGCAGGCAGGCAGGCTGCAGGTGCTGAGCTGACAGGAGGGGGGGGGGGACACACTAGCGGTCCTACCAAGTGGAGCAAAGTCTTGTGCTGAATGTTGTAGCCTCACAAAGAGCTGCGCCCAACGCTCTTAACGCTGCCCTACACAATTTGCAGTTGGTTTTTCCAGACTGGTTTGCCTGTGTAGTCCTGGCTCTCCTTGTCGCTCTGTAGATCAGGCTGCCTCTGGCTCCTGAATGCTGGGATTACAGGGATGGGCCACCACTGGCCGGCAGCAGGTGTCTATTTATGACAGTGCTTCATTGCAGTTTTGGAACCTCTCCTGAACTAGCTCTTGCAGACAACACTGGCCTCAAACTCAGAATCCTGCCTCTGGCTCCCGTCCGCTGGGATCAAAGGGCAAAGGCGCGCCACACGGTAGCAGTTGTTTTTTTATAGCTCATTCAAGAGGCAGAGGTAGGTGATAACCTGAGGCCAGGCAGGCTTAAACTACCATTAACAAATCCTAAAGATGAGTGTGTAAGGGTGAGGGACAGGTGGACAGGAATGCGGGTGCCTGCAGAGGCAGTAGCAGCTCTCCTGAGGCTGGAGTCACTAATGTGGGCCTTACTGAGGCCCTGGGGACCAACCCAGACACGCCGAAGGGGCTCTTCACAGGCTCAAACACTGGGTGGCGGCCATACCAACTCCTCTCTTGCCCACCTGCACAGTATGACACCACCTGAGTTGGAGGTTCAGCCTTGCCAGATGGGGCAAGTAGAGGACAACTGAACTATCTTTATCCTTTTTGGTTGATGTTATGACTGAGTGGATCCCAGTGACCACAAATCTGTCATGTCATCTCCAGGGGGCCAGATGCCCTCTTTTGGGCCTCCAGAGGTAATAAGGAGTATGTTAAAAATGTACAAACCTCAAGTGCATTACTTTTAATGTTCTTCTACACTAGCTCTCAGCCGCACCAGCAGGAACCCTGCACACTTTAACATCACTGTATACAAGGCATGGAGGGTGGGCCGGCCTGTACCACTTTCAGAATCCAGCCTGGCCATGATGGTGCTGGTCACACCTGACCAGGAGCCCCAGTTGCCTGGTCAGCAGCACCTAGCACCCACATTGACTCTTGGAAAAAGACACCTCTGGTCCTCAAAGGCAGCCTTGAGGCCCCGTCCCTAGGGCTTGGCTGGCCTCATTCCCACCAGTAGAGGTTTAGTGCCTGCAGGATAAGGGGCTCAACCAGGTCCTGGGGGTGGATTAAGTTCGTGCCTGGAATTCTCAGGCCTGAGCCAGCACTCATGCAGCCTGCATGAGCAATAAGGTTCCTGGGGTACAATAGCTTATAGAAAGAGCCCAAGCCTGTGCTTAGTCATCCCTGCCCCCCACAGAAGCAAAGGAGCCAGGCAGAACTCTGGAGCTTTATTTAGTGGGTCTCTGGGTCTAGAAGAAGGTGTTAGGCCTCTTGGTAGTGAAGCGAGGCTTGTGCTGGCGCCGCAGAACACGGTGGGGCAGTGGGAACTTGATCTTGGAGTCCTGTGGAGAGGGAGGGGATGAGTGTCCAGGGCTCAACCAGGCAGAACCACCCCCCACAGCCCTGCGTCAGCCCCCACTCAGGGAACTCACATGGAACTGCTTGACAGCCGGCCTGCGACATTTGCCAGCGGCGATCTCTTCCACCTTCATGATCTGGATGGAGTGTGCACGGGCACGATGCCGGGCACCCATGTCTCGGTCTGAGGAAGGAGAAGGAAGTCAGCCTCAGGCACTCACATGGCACCCGTTCCCAGGGCTGTGGAACCTCCTGATTCACTCTGGGGGGCACTGCACAGCCCCCCAAAGGCGACGAAGTTCCTTTGCTGTGCGCACCACTGTTTAAACAGCCGCTACAAGCAGTGGCAGTTCTTGGGTTGGGTGCAGGGCAGGGGTGGGGGAGAGAGGCAGGGGTGGGGACTCACAGCACTGTGTGACAGCCCCAGCAGTGGTCAGGTCGCGGTACTCGCGGTACATGTTGTGTGTCCCACTGCGGGAGTCATAGCGCAGCCAGATGCCGAAGTTCTTCACGCGCAGGGGGGACTTCTCGAATACCTGTGGGCAGGAAGGGCAGTGAAGTGTGCTGCCTCGGCTCTGGGGGAGCCCAGGGACTGCCACCCTGCGGGGCCCTGGGCCGCACCTGCCCACAGTACACGATCTCCCCGGATGACTTCTTCATCTTCTTCAGCTGTGACACGAAGTACCAGAAGCGGGACTTAGCCACCACATGGTTGGGCGCGAAGATGCGCATTCGGTACAGCGGTGGTGTGTGGCACTTCGGGGTGGGCAAGCAGCGCCCCACCACCTTGTACTCCCGAAGCTGAAAGACAGGGTGGTGAACCGAGGCCTGCCTGTCACGCCAGAAGCAGCCACTTCAGAACGCAAGTGCCCCGCCATGGACTGCCTCAGTTTCCCCAGCCCCCGAGCCTAGGTCACAGACTAGCTTTTCACCAGGAGGCAGAAGGATGGCATGTATCCATGCCCCCACGCCAGGTCAGCCCTGTGCCTGCACAGGCATAGGTGGGGCAGCTCGCAGCAATCCTCCTGCTCACGGCGCTAGTGTGAGACACCACACCCTAGACGGCTACTCTTCTGCCCTTCCCAAGTGTTACACAAATACCAGGCAGGCCAATTCGGCCTCCAATTTGGAAATAGCTAAGGATGACTCAATCCTGACCTACGTGCCTCTACCTCCCAAGCACTGAGATAACAGGTGTGCAGCAACATGCTTGTGGACTTCAGAGCCGGAAGGGGCCGCAAGGCATGCTTGTCAAAGGCTGAGGCAGAGCCCCACCTCCTCGCGTGTCTAAGTAATCCAGGTTAGCTTTGAAATTTAGTGTCCTGTCTCGGTAATAACCAAACTAGACAACCGTATCTCATTTTGTTTCTTTCTGGTTTTGATACAGGGCTTCTCAATGGAGCTTTTTTGGTGTCTCTCCTGGAACTACCTCTTGTAGTTGCAGCCAGTTGTGGCCGGCATCGAACTCAAGAGATCCGCCTTTCTGCCTCCCGAGTGCTGCGATTAAAAGGCCTGCACCTCCACCGCCCGCCTTCCTTTTGTTTTTCTATACTGGAACTCGCGACAATCCTCCTGGCTCTGCATTCCGGTTCTGCTATCACAAGCGTGCGCCACTGTGCCAGGCTGTTTCCAGACAAGCGGACCTTGGCCTGTGGTCCTGGAGGGGGAAGCCGGCCCCATCGGCTTGCCTAGCGGGCCATGCTCCCACACGAGCCCTGATGCGCCCGCTCCCTCCGCGGCTGCTCAGCACGCGGCGGCCGCCATGTTGCCGCGAGGAGCCTGTGACCGCGGATCGCTGCCCGTGCCCGGCGAGCAGGTCCCCGCGGGCGTGCCCGGCGCCATCCCGGCACACAGCCACTCCGCGCGGTCCCGCCGCCAACGCCGCGCCCCCAGCCGCACCGCGCCCGCCTTACTGTGCCCGAGGCCTTCATGGCAGTCCGTCCTCGTCCGCCGCCAGTCACAAAAGGAAGTGTTACTTTCCGCGCAGGCTCTCACCATGTACTCCCTGACGGAAGTCCCGCCCTTCTCGATGCCGTGCGTCCATTGGATACGTACACTCACGCTCTAAGATCTTAGTTTCTCTATTGGTTACAGGTCAGCTCCGTAACCCCTCCCTATCCCTCTCACGT